GCTAACACTGGTGACATTCCCTGGGATTGTACTGTAATGGTCCTGAGAGAAGCTGGATGCAAAAGGAAATAAGCAGCATCCACACTAATGGCACAAATAGCAGTAATGTGGCTGCAAAATTGGTGAACCACCAGCACAAGGACAGGGCTCAGGTATTTCTAACACTGTAGCATACAAGTCACTTTAGAGATTTCCAAGAGACCACAATAAAAAATATTTGAGCACTGTCTACACTACTGCTCCCAACAGCAAAGCTGCACTCAGAGGAAGCTGCTGAAGTGCAAAAATAGGATTTTTTTGTAATATAAAGCTAAAAAAGTCTCACTCTGGTACGCTGCTGATGGGAAAAGGCACTGGCTGACTTCAGTCTACAGCCAAGGGAACATCTGATGAGTTTCAAAGACCGGGGTAGGTGACACCTCTTCAGCGTGCTCTCTGTAGAGGATCCACATCCAACTGCCCTTCAAAGCCTGCTAAGTTCAACTTCCCCCAGTGTAACCGCTCAGAAAAATCAGAGCGTGATGCCATCTCTTAGCCAGCCTAAGATAGCGGTTATTAATATTTTTAGAACTGAGGCACCCCTTGGAAAATGCCAGCTCTTAGTTTCACTTTTTTACTACAGAAAAACAGAGCCATTTTTCTGCATCAAAGAATTCAGATAGATCACAACAAGTCAGGATGCTCTTAATACTATGGCTTCCTATTGACACCACTGAATTGATCTTGTGAATCATGTCTGCGCACCCAACACGCCTAACATTGCATGGCGCCCCGCAGCACCCTTGGAAGGACCTCGCAGTGCCCTGCTTGAGCATCACTGGCCCATGACAAATGGAGCAGTCTCTCATCTTATATTCATGTACAACACAGAGGTGAGGGTGGGCAGGTGGCTGTTGCGGCTCTGACTCTGGCCTCCTGCCTACCCCTACTTACCCCTCTATAGCTTCTGCCCTTTCCCCTCACCCCCTTTTACCTGCCTTTACTGTCAAGCACAGCTCAGCTCCAGCTGGGGCCAGTTTCCTTCTTGGGCACAGAGTACAGATCCACAGGAGCAGAGACAGGCCTGGCCAGCCAGCAGTGCCAATGCTGCTGCATGGCCCAGCAGCCCCTGCTGTGCTTTCACATGCTGTGCTCCATGATCCAGGAGGGAACAGAGCCCAAGCAGTGTCTGACCGAAAGTAGGTGGGGGGAAGAGACTATGGACAGAAGAGGACAAGAAGCAGAGACTGTGGGGAGTGGAGGCGGTGCGGGGGAAGAGGAAGGGACTGTGGCAAGCTGGGGTGGGAGAGATTTCATAGACATTAGGGCTGGAAGGGACCTCACAGGATCATCGGGCCCAGCCCCCATGCCCAAGAGCAGGAAGTCAGCTGGGCTCAGATCACCCCAGCAAGATAAGCATCCAGGCATTTCTTAAAAGGTATGTAGAGTAGGTGCTCGCACCACTTCCAGAGGGGAGTCTATTCCAGACTCCGGAGACTCGGACGATCAAGAAGTTTTTCCTTATGTCCAGTCTAAAATAGTCTTTCAGCAATTTGTGACCATTAGACCTCATCTTCCCGTGGGACATCCTCATGAACAACACCCTCCCAGATCCTGATGCACACCCTGATGTACTTCTAGGCTGCCACCAAGTCACCCCTGAGCCTGCGCTCCTCCAAGCTGAAGAGTCCCACGTCCCCCAGCCTCTCCTCATAAGGCCTGCAAACAGGTAGGAGAGCGCAGGTGGGGAGAGACTGTGGGGAGTGAAGAGGAAGACTGTGGCAAGCCGGGGGTAGCAGAGGTTGTGGGGAACTGGAAGGGGGGCCAGATGGGAGGAAGGGGCAGAGATGGTGGGGAGCTGAGGGTTGGGGGCAGGTAAGGCAGGGGGTCAGCCACCTCTTTCCCTGCTGGAGGGGACATGAATGCAAGACAAGCCTCTGATAATTAGATCTGACACCTGAAAAATGACAGCACATTTATAGATTTTCCATGCACATAATCTAATTGGGGAAGCGGGGGTCATCTTAGATTAGAGTAAACACAGTATATACAGAACATATCAGGAGATGGCCTTGCCTTCGCCTGCCAGGACAGCCCCCAGCAGAATGGCAGCTTCCTAACACAAAGCCACGGCTGCTCCTTTCTAGGACCACTATTGTTATTTTGTTTTTTAATACGATTTGTATCCAAGGCCAAAGAGCCAAAACTCTGCGCTAAAAACAACCTCGTGGCACACAAGCTCTGTGATCCCTTTGTGAGCCCAACCCCCCGCCCCACTTGGGGGCTGCCTCTGGGGGCGGTGGGGGCAAGGGCAGGTCTGGGGCAGCTCAGCTGTGCCCCCTCTGGCTCTGACTCCGACCCCTGGGGGTGAGGGGCAGCAGACCCAGCCCCTCCCCCGCTAGAGGGGTGCAGGGACTTCAGCTCCCAGCATGCACTGCTCTGCCTCGACCCCACCAGGCCCCACGTCTTTCCCTCCCAAAGTGGACTACAAGTCCCAGCATGCAGCGCGCCCCTCCCGCCCCGCGAAGGGGCCTGGCCGCGCAGTGCCTGCTGGGAGTGGCAGTCCTTCGCTCCCCCCACCCCCACGCTAACCCCCATGGCGGGGACCCACTCCGCAACCCCCCAACAAATACCGGCCGGGTCTGGGGAGGCGGAGCCCGCGGGCGCCCGGGGAGCCGCTCCCGGGCGGAGGGGGGCGCCGATGGTGCGGATGGCGGCAGATGAACTCACCATCATCTTGGCGGAGAGTCTGCAGCGGCTCCTACGGTAGAGGCGGAGGCGGCGGCGACTCCCACAATGCAGCGCGCGCCCAGAAGCTTCCCGCGCCGGAAGCAGTGCTCCCTCGCCAACTCTATGACCAGAAGCCAGAGCGGCCGTACCGCTTCTCTTCCTTTCAACATAGAGAGGCGGGGGGGGGGGGGTCAATGTGGCTCAGTATTTGGCAGGGCAGGCTGCCTACGGTGTTAGAATACCTCACTATTTGGCAAGCGGGCGGCGTGGCCGGAGCTGAGCGGAGTCCTTCGAGGGAGTGACTGCTGACCTGGGAACCCCACGCACGACGACCCGTCCCCACCACTGGGGTGTCAGACGCGTGCAAGCAGAAACCACATTGATTGGACCTAATGGATGGGGCCACCAGATTTCGCTTCCCCTCTCCGTCTATGAAGCGATGCCGTTCGGCCTGCCTCAGGGGCGAAGAAGGGCAATTAGCCGGTGTCACTGCAGCCTCCCGGGAAATAAACTGGCGTCATTCCGAATCGCACCCTTTTGATTTTTTGTCTGCGCCTATAATAGAGACATTGCGGTAGCTCGGACCCTCCTCTCCACTCCCTCCCAGCCGGGGTTTGACGGCCCGGCGTGGCAGCCAATGGGCGGCGGGGCGGGTGCGCCGCTGCACCAATGAGCGATGGGGGCGGGTGGCCGGGCGGCCCGGCCGGGGAGGCTGCAGCCCAGCCATGCTGCTGTGCGCTGTGCTCTACCTTTGCGCCGCGCCGCTGGCGCACGGTGAGTGGGACGTGGGTTCGAGCCCCGCAGCCGGCGCCGCGGCGCAGTGCCCTGCCTTTTGCCATCTAAAGCCCAAGCGCCTCCTGGCATGAAGGGGGAGGTGCAAAATACCCCCCTCCCTTCACCAGGCATCCCGGGCATCCCAGATTTTAATTGCCCCGGGAGTCCCCCTAGCCTGGGGTGGGGGGATGAAGCTGATCTCCGTCCCGGGAGGTGCGGGGTGCTGGCAGCTATGAAGCTACGCGCTGGGATGTCCCGGGAGAGGCAGGGGAGGCGCCCCCTTGACCCATTTGAGAGTTGGGGAAACTGAGGCACGGTGCTAGGACAGCTCCTGGGCGGGGGTGGTGCAGGCCTGGGGGCTTCTGCTTTGTGCTGCAGGTGGCAGGGTGGTATTGAAGCCCTCCTCGGGGGCATTGGGTGCTGGCTGGGGGTGAGGATTTAGCTATGCCAAGGGTCTTCTCCCTCCACTCAGGCTCAGACTGATGTCAGATTTGGGGTCAGGAAGGGATTTCACCCCATGAGCAGACATTTGTATTGCAAGGGGTGGTGGGGGGTTGCTTTTCTCTGTAACAGGGTTGTGGTCCTCTTGAGCATCCATTAACTGTGTGCGAGAAGCAGGACATTGGCTGCTGTGCCCCCCCCCCAGCTTTCCCTGTGCCAGGTCTTCCCATATTGCAGAAGGGAAGACTGAGGCAGGAGGAGGCTGAGGCTAGCACAGTGGATGAGTACCCCACATCTCCCTGGGGACA